TTGAACTTTATACTGGAGGCAGTGTTCACATTCCATTCAGTCTTTTACAGCACCAAGAAGGGAGAATTAGTCAGCTGTTCTTTGTTTTTATTTCCCTGACTCTTGAACGGGGTCCAGGCTTGCTCCTGAGGTTTTTCATCTGGATTGGTCTGAATAAAACAGATTTTTCTTGCAACTGAAAACCCTTTATTTGCAAAAGGTTATGATAACCAAAGAAAGCCAAGCTCCCCCAGTTTGTGTTTGGGGGGTGGGAGGGGGAGTGGAACTGGCTTCCTGCAGTCCTGTTAGCATTAAAGCTGGTTTGTAGGACACTTACTTAAAACAAAAAATGAAAGCTATCATGTTTGTGCCTTAGTGGAGCATGGCAGGATGCTGTTGCTAAGACGATGCATGCTGATTCTGGCATAAGTAGTTATTCGAGCAGACCCTACCCTAAGGAGCTGAGTCCCAATCCTTTCTCCCCTGTATAGGAACAAATCAATTATTCTAAGGAGGTGGTGTTGTCTCTTGGTGCTGTTGTGTTGCTTTTTGAAAACGTTTTGTAAGTTAGTCCTTAAGTGGGATAATTGCTTTCAGCATTTGCAAGTTAAATGAAGAAAGCTCTAATTAGATTTTATAAAGTGGCTTAGCGTGTTGAGAAGGCTTTTCATAAAGTATACTGTGTATTCACTTGGTGTTGCACAATTGAATTTCGTGTAGCACTGATGAAACCAAAAAATCCTATTTGGCCTTGGTTGCTCCTGGGCACTTAAAGGATTGAAAGCCTGTCCTAGGTACTCCTGGCTATACATACTCTCTTCCTTTCCCTAAATTTATCTGTATTTAGAGACTGGAGGAGTTGTAGCGAGACCAACCTGTTTGAGGGAAAGATAGTAGAATGGGGCGTAAAAACTGGGTATTTTGTAGCACTTGAAAACTGGCCCATGGCACGTAACGTTTAATTTGTCTTAGTTGTTATTATGCTGTGCTAATTGTACGGTAGTGCTGGGTGGCAGAGAGCCATTTTGTTCAGGTTAGTCTTAGCTCCGCGTGGGCATTTATTGATTTCCACAGAAATGGAACAGTGCCCATGCTTCGTAACCTTTGGTATTGTTTGGCGTCCTGTAGGTTAGAAATGTGATATGCTAATGCTTTACTACTGCCTTCGCAGCCTTGGCATAAGTGGAGGGACTGGCCAAAGCAGCGTAACACATTGCTTGCCATTTGAATAAGAACTCAGCCTTGTCACAAGCCTCTTTCATGTGTATGTTCTGCACTGTGTGTGCCAGGAGCTTCCTGATGAGAACTGGAAACAGCCCCCAAAGCTGGTGTTTGTTTCAATTGTTTGGGCGCTGTTGCTGGATGTGACTTACTAGAGCCTCTTTTAACTAAGATGCGCTCAGTTTAGGAAGTAGTACCTCTGCTACATCAGTTCTTGAAGCTTCATCTGCAGAAATGTAGATCCTGCATGCTAACAACTTTGAAGACAGTTCAGTGAAGCTAGATCTGAAGAACAGGTACTTAATGAGAAGTCTTGCATTGACTTCTTATGACTTCAGGTAACCACAGGAGCAGATGATTGCAAACTGGTCGGAACTATTATTTGCCTTCTGCACTGCTCGAAGACTTGGGCTTGTTTAGTCTCTTCTTGTGGTTATCAGTGTGCAGGTGAAACTGTCTCTATTAGCTGCAGATATGTATGGGAATGAGAGTTAGTATGTTTGGAGGAGAAGCAAGTACAATAGCTACTTCTTGTGTGTCTGCAGTTTATCTTTGGTAAGGCCCAAGTTTGAATAACAGTATAGAGATGTCTGGTAAGATCTACTCACCTTAGGACGTTAACTCATGGATTGTCAACCAGCCTACATCCTGGCAGGAGGGGATAAAAGGCTGTTCTGCTCTCTAACCATACTTGATCTCTTCAACCCTAGTTAGAGAGTCACATCTATTATGGTAAATTTTTCTCACTTGTTGCTTATGAGGGGTCAGGTTCTTTCAATGCTTCTGGAATCAACAAACTCTTTCTCATTTGAATTTGGTGGTTCACTTTCTCCATGACCAGTTGTGGCAGTGTGTTCTTTGTCTAAACAACAGGCTTGCTATTGTAACAGCATGAAGTATGTGTCTTTGGATGAACATTCACAACCACCCACGGGCTCTTGATTCACTTAACCACATGTGCCTTGAAGTGTTTTATTCATTTTCAGTGTTTGCCCATTTCTGTGTTTGTAAATGGACTTTGTGACCCCTTTTGAGGCATAGACATACTACAGGGACTTGCATAGTCAAATTGAGTAGCTCTCAAGTGAACACAGGTTTAGGCCTTTCCCCTCTTCTGCCTCAAGTGTCAAACCAATGTGTACCACTTCTTAACAGAGTTTTTAATCATATTGGTAAACATGTAGACTAAACTGGAAACTTTTGTCAGGTTCCATGTGGTCTTGTAAATGGTATGCAGGAATAACTCCAGTTTTCTTTGAGAAAAGATTATGAATTGGATGAAGTTTTCTTTATTACAAGAGATAGTTGATGCTGTGGTAGGCTCTGCAAGTTGGTGGAGTCCAAGTTCTTAAGTGAACTTGAGGTGATGAAGTTTCTGAGCCTGTATAGACGAAATGATAAAACTTAAAACCTTTAGTAGCCCTTTAAAAAGGCAGATATTACTGTGTGAGATGTGACCAGCACATAATTCAAGAAAAAGTAGAAAATAATTCAGGAAAAATACCTTTTTAACATAGTCTTAGGAGTTGAAATTTCTATGTTGTATACTTAGCAGGTGTAGTACCTGTGCTGGTTGATGCCAATGGCGTGAAACTGGTATTGGAGGTGCTAAGTGTCTCAGCCTTGTGTCTGTACTCAGACAAATTTCAGTTGGTGATGCAGTTCTTCAAGACAAGCAAGGTCTGGAAATAGCTAAATTGGAGATTTATTCCTGAGAGTGTCAAAGACATTATCTGAGCAAATTTGGTAGGATTTACTTTAGCCTGTAGAGCATATAGAGGTGAGGGAGTGGGGGAAGACACTTAAATCAGCAGGTTCAATTAAACTTCAATGACCTGATGCAGAGAGGAGATTTGGGAAGCACAGGTAGGTCTTAACATTTCATCCAAACGACAGCCATGCCAAGGCAAATATGTGCTCTTTGGCAGGGGAGCAGTGGCATACCCGTAAGTGTCCCAGCTGACACTGGGAAGCTGTCCATCTAGAGATGGATTTTTGTCTATTGGGGTTACTTTCTTGTCAATCAGGGGCAACCTTTGTGAATACTCAGATCAGTACTTGTCATGCAAAGAAACTACCCTTTGTGTTTGCAACAGGGTCCTTTGGAAGATACTGATTTGTATTTTCTAGGAACAAGATAAAGTATGTTGCTGCCTTCTCTGTCAGCTTCTTCCATGTGACTGAAGGCAATGAACGAACTTCTGCTGCATTTCGGGATTTTATGCTAATATTTCACTTCTATCAGTATTTTTTTCAGAAAAGAAAATTATCCTCATTACCATGAAGTAACTAATCCCCAAAGCTGTAATCATTGCTGACATTATGTTTCATATTTACAAAATATGAACAATTCGGTTCACCTCTTCAGATTGTCATTTGAGTTACTGTTAACAGTTTCCTGTAACTGTTCTCTAACAAGAAATTAAATTCTATAATGTGTTGACTACAAAAATGTAATGTTTCCTTTCATATTTTATCCGACTTAGTGAAATGTATTCCATCAGTGTAGTTTCAGTAATAATTTCAGTATAATTTTTTTATATGAAATGGTACAATTATGAAGATTTGTTTTCTGCAAGGGTGGTATTTGGTAGCACATGGAGCAAATATTGTGCTAATTATTTGGTATGGCATGACTACTTTTCTTTAACTGTAAGCCTTCTAATAAATCATGATTTATGTCTTTGTCTAATTGCATAATCTTTATTTTTCAGTAGATTTTAATAGATTATTTTTTCTTTTATACTTCAGTCTTCTGTACATCGTACATCTCTTTTGTCACTTGAAATCTTATCAATTTTCAGGTTGGTTTCCAGACTCTCAAAGTTAGCCAGCCTTGTTCTGGCATCCTTATTTATAGGATGTGCCAAAATTATACAAACTAAGGCCAAATAAACTGTCTACAAGTATGATGCCAGTTTTTTTTTTCTTGTCTGATCTTTTAAAAAAAGGCTTTGCACATCTTGATTTCTAATATTTTGGAGTACAGCAGTATCGTTCTCATGCATCAAGATGCGTGTCTGAAAGCTCTCAAAAACAGATTTGGGAAGAAGGGTACTGCCCAGTACTGCATAGCATCGTAGTAATGTCATTGAATAAATTACTGTATGATTTAATTTGAGCGCTCCTGGATGGATAAGTACGTAATAATTTGATAGCGTCCCTCTGTGTTTCCCTTGAAGATCGTAACGTATGGCAGTTTTGCTTACTGTGGGAAACTTCTTTGTAGTTGGAGGCTGGAATGGTCGTATCTATTTGTGAAGGACAGGGAGTGCTTTTGTTACCTTCAAAGACCCATTATGGGATATGATTGCCTGTGGGAGTGTCTGGTTATGATCTATTAGAGAACAGCCTATTAATAAAACAGAGGCCCTTGTAGTAGAGCACTTCTTAATCTTCTTCCTATGTAGTTATTTATAGGCTGTGACATCTTAATTTGCCTCTCATGTGCATCAACTTGTGTTATTTTGAAAGATCAAGTAGCTTTCACACACCTCTGAGAATCACTTCTGGAGGAAACAGTCTAAGGAATCTCACAAAAAGCCTTCATGTCATTAAGTTTGCTGTAAAAAATGTGTGCTGGTGTCTTTCTAAAGGACAAAAGTTATGGAATGTCCTGTTATATAGATACTTGAATATTAATCCTGTATTTGTCTGACTACAAGCAGATTTTCTTGAGTTCTCAAAGGATTTTCAGTTGCTGATAGCACTTATTTGCCCTTACTGAATGTGCAGTGACCTACCTGGAACAATATGAAATACACTATTTGCTTTATTTTTGTGGTCATTTTCTTTATTAGAGTGGTCCTAGTGCCAGATCTTGTCACAAGATGTGCATTGACATTCAACGAAGGCAGATCTACACGCTGGGACGCTATCTGGATTCCTCCGTGAGGAACAGCAAATCTCTGAAAAGTGACTTCTATCGCTATGACATTGACACAAACACATGGATGTTACTAAGTGAAGACACTGCAGCAGATGGAGGTCCAAAGCTGGTGTTTGATCATCAGGTCAGCCACACTGATACTCTTAGTGCAAGTTCTCAATGCTCGCGAATCGATTTTGATCGTAGCCTCCCGCAATTTAGGAGTGCCGTACCAAGTACCACAGCAGTGATGAGGAAGGCTGTGATCTGCACTCAGTTAAATCCTAATAGCCTTGTTGTCCAATGCCACTGACGACTGGTATTCTAGTCAAATTGAGTCAGAAGAATCATAAAAACCTTTGCAAACTAATTAATTTTATTAAGACCCATTTTATTAAAGCTCAAAGCACAGTTCATCTGTTTTTAATCAGTCTTGTTGAGCTTGGTTTGCAGATCTGCCTACTCAGAGGGCGCTGGGGAAAAACTTGCCAAGCTGTGTATGGTACCTTTGGAAGAATAATATAAGCAAGCTGCTGAAATGAGGCCAACAGGATCAGGATTCTTTCAAAACTGGTTATCAAAAGATTAAAAAAAATTTGTAGAATGTGCTTGCTTTGTAGAGATTGAAACACCTTATAGGAGTGGGTACTCATCTTTTAAAAAGCTACACCTGTCCATGTGTTCAAACTGAATGCATTTTTTACTTATGTTGTATGTTTAATGGCTTTTTCTGTACTTGAAAAAGGTATTTTGTTGTTAATTGATTTTTATGAAGCATGGCAAAGAAACAGCACATCAGTACTCATTTTAAAGCAGCCCGAGAACTGCTTTTATTGGAACTAGCTGTTTTGTAACCAAAGCTGTTTACGGCCAGCACAAGATGCATTTCTGCTGACACCGAAAACGAGATACGTGCTGTCTGCAGAACAAAAGCCAATCAGTCTTTCTGTTCTATTAATAACAGATACCAGTCTCCCAGGTGTTGGGGAAAAGGCAAAAGTAAATTGTCAGCTGGCAAGGCTTCTCTGGGTACCTTGTTTGCCTGCTTCTGAAATTGCTGCTTTTTTTCCCCTGCTGTCTCTTAGGGAAGAGTGTCCTCCCTGAATTCTTTACCAATCTGCAGCTCTTCCTCTTCTCTCCCTTAATACCTACTGTGATAGTGGTTTTTGTTTAACCTTCAAAAATGTGCTGCACTACAAGTGTTTTGTGTAGGCTTTGCTGAGTAGTGTGTCTGTCTTACTGTCTAATCCTGTCTGGTTTTTGTGGTTTGGTGGTTTTTTGTTTCCATACACCTTCCCGGTGTTTTGTAACTCTCTGTGTTGCATTGTGTCTGAAAATATCACCTGGAGTCAGGGAGTTTTGTTTTGATTTGTACTGCAGTGTGTCTCTTGTGTGCCATAACCTGAATTCAGGTTTTGGGGATAAACATATTTCTGCTGCAGTCTCATCAAAAATCCTTGGCCAAGTTACAGCCCTACTTCATGTTGAAGTAATGGGGGTAACAGTAAATACATGCTTGGAATGGAATCTGAGTAACAAATTGCAGGCTGGTTTTGGATCAGTTGAGTGGCAGTCAGTAAATTCAGCAGTGATTTTTGAAATTTTCCCTTGCGTAGCCATTGTCAAAGGCGATATTCTGTTAACTTTCTGGCAGAATTGGCTGTGTATCCTGGTGAAAGACCTTAAAATGTTTTTCCCTAAAATGAGAGACAGAAGGTGGTGAAGGGTGCATGTAGTCTTTTCTTCTTTTTGCTTATTAATTAGTAAGTTGAAATTAGACTCACTTTTAAAATAAAGGAACTGTTTTCTGAGATGAATACCTGCAAACTGTGTGTTCTGCTCTGTTCGTTAGAGGACTAGGAGATGTGCAGAGTACTGTCTTAACTTACTAGCTGCCCCTTGCAGGGGAGGGATGTTTAATCTTAAATCTTAGAGTGGTCAAGTCTTCATGTGCTGGCTTAAAATTAATTCTCTCATTCTCACAGATGTGTATGGATTCCGAAAAACACATGATATACACCTTTGGTGGCAGAATTCTGACCTGCAATGGCAGCGTTGATGACAGCAGAGCCAGTGAACCGCAGTTCAGCGGGTTGTTTGCTTTTGACTGCCAGTGTCAGACGTGGAAACTTTTGAGAGAGGATTCCTGTAATGCCGGCCCTGAGGATATCCAGTCCCGAATAGGACACTGTATGCTGTTCCATTCTGTAAGTATCCACACCATGCTTTGATTCATGATGCCTGACTTTAAGGAGAACATCTGTTTCTCATTTTTCTCACAAGTTTGAAGCTCTTTAATCTCCCAGGCAGTGTGTTGTCTCACTTGATTTTATGTTTGCTAACATTCTGATGCTTCTTTGCAAAGTGCAAGTGGTATTCATTCAAGTCTTGGAGCTTTCATGACTTCAACTGAATAAAATTTCAAGCAAAAAGCAAGGTGAATTTTAAATACTTGATTTTAATCGAATAATGGTAAATAGACCCAAAGGCTGTGGTTCAATTCGATATAAAGAGTTTTTCTTTTAAAGTTCTAGAGCAACTTAGAAGCTTCTGGTCTAGTAAATGCCCTCTGTAGTTACTGGAATAGTAAACTTAACTAGTGCAGGGGCTTACTGGGTGTGTATTGAGATGCACAGGCCTCATTCCTCTGGGCTGAGCACTCAGCTGTTGCTTGTTCTCTTGAGCAGCTGTTAACAGCTGGGCACAGCTGGCACTATTATGGGCGCTTCATCTGGAGCCTGACAAAGGGAGAGGGATGAGGGGAGAGGGGGCTGTGCAGGGGTTTATTTGGTATTGGGTGTTTAAAAAAAAAAACAAAAACAAATCAACAAACAACAAAACAACTTCCATTGCCTTTCCAGCTCATCAACCACACGTTTGCTTAAGTGCAGAGCATGGGAACTTTGGGGTGTTTCGCTGACATTAAACTCTGACTTGGGGCTGGGGAGGAAGAGAATTAAAATTAATATTGTGGCATTCAAGTGTGTACTGGTACCACCAATTGACAACTGACCAGTTTGAACTTACTGAGTTTATTTCTCTTTCC